AAAATTTTATTTTAAAACTGTAATTTAATAGCTACTTTATTAAATTTAATATAATTAAATTAATATTAAGGGGTTGTGCAAATATACTTTAACCTCTAACCTGACTTATTTATACACCTGGTTATGCAGAAAACACGTAACCCTAAACGCACTACCGGTTATGCAGGTATAAGTCCCTAGCACTCAAAGGCGCCGATTTCAAAGTTAGTAATAACTTTAGTAAGTTACTAAAACTACTGCCTTATCTCCTTAATGCCTACTTCTTTATATTTTACTTAAGAAGCTTCTTTAGCCTTTAGGATTAATTTATTAAGCTTAGGATAATTATTATAAAAGCGCTAATACTATATTTTACTAACTAGCTTTATATTAGGATTATAGTAATAGTATAGTATATTTACTGTATCTTTAACTTTATATTTAAAGGCAGGCAGACCTAACTTTTATATCTAGATAATAAAGGCTATAATAGCTTTTTTTTCTTTATTAGTTAGTAGCCTTAGCTAACTTATTTATTTATTAGGAATATCTTTAATTAAGAGGGTATTTATAGCTTTAAGCTTCTTTATAATATAGCTAATAGTTATATACTTAAAGCCTAGATAACGCTTCTTAGCCTTATAAAGGGATAATAGTTACTTAAAGAGGTTATAGGCAAGGCCTTATTAAAAGTATAGGTATAAAGAAATAACTACCTAAGCAGCTTTAAAATTCGTAGGGAAGTATATAATATAGATTAATAAAAAAGACAGTATATTTACTAATTATTATCTTTAAATTTATTAATTTAGGTATAAAAAACCAAAGAATCGTAACAGCTGGCCATACAGGGCTATATTAGCCTTTTATACCTGTATCGCACTTTTGTGCCTAACTAAGCTTGCTTAGTTAGCCCCCCCCCGGCTCGAGCCAACGGGTACTCAAATCGACCCCTGACGACCAAAGTGAAGTAGTCTATGGTAGGAAATAATTTGGAATGCTCCATGGCTCAAACAGATTCTATCATCTGTGTATAGATGATTGGTCTGACGAGTGAACTCCAGTTTAATTATAGCAACATCGTGAAACGAGAAACTCGCGTACACTGATATGTAACGTTGATAGGTCTTGTCCATGTTATAGTGCTTCCATTCATCCTGCAATCAATCACTCGGCACATATTGTCGGTTCTTTACTCACCATGCTTACTCGTCAGCAACGCTACAACCGTACAGGGAACTATTCTTGTTGTGTCGATGGTAGACGGACCTTGTTTTTGCATCCGATACATCCAATGGTTGCAGTAGACACGGATGCTAATGCTACCTATGGTCCAGGGACAGCCCTTTTCAGCCTCTACATGCTTTATCATTAACACAACGCTTTGAGTTTGGACGACAAATGGCTTTTGTTCTCATACATTAGTAGGTAACCGGCAGATTTAGTAGTGTGACTATGAATATTTAGGTAAGTTAAGGCACACATGGTAGGTTAGTAGTCTCCTTGGGTACGAAAGCTGGTCGGCGACAATGAAATTGAGTATCATGCTGGGGGATTTCTCCCCTTTCTTTGACCTATCTACTACCTATTCAGTTATGTAAATTGAGTATACTTCGTCCTATCTTCCACATCTAGGTATTCTGTTCCTCTCTGAACAATAGCATGCATGATCTATCATATTCTACATTTGAGCTTCATCTGCCAACCCCTCTCAACTCACAGTAATAAACCATCTCGCACATGGAGCTCCACATCACGCCGGACAAGCAAACCAACCTGATAAGAACACATCATAACCTTCCCAGAAGCATGATATTGCAGATCTCGTATCATGTTGATCGTAAATATCTCACTCACCAGCGAACAATTTACCCTGGAGAGAGGGGCAGATCAGTCACCACTATCGATCCGTAGAATCTCTCCGGGAATTACTCCGTGAGGCCTATTAAATAGAACGACAAACTACCGATGTCGTTCTGCTGGTCAACTCGCTGTAAAAACTGTCTCACGGTAGAGCTTTAACAAGACGCTGTGTGACAGCACATAACACCCTGCAGTTCGACGCCAGCTGCATTTGATCAGAGCCTCATTACTGGATTGGCGCTGTTGCACATCATCTTTGTCCCATATACGACACTGGTTTTGTTCTCTTGGGCGATACACCCGTGAAAGTGCACAGTACTGCCGAAGAAAAGTGGCTTGAATCGGTTCATCGTGAGTTAATGTTTGATCACGAGCAGCCGTCTCACGTGCTGAGAGCCCATGTGGATGTGGATTGTGTATGTATATAACTAACAGGCTGCAGACGATATCACCGTAGCGCCGTCCAGTGCCAGCATCAACCCAGCTCTCTGTAGGTAATCATGGGTAGCACGGATCAAAGTTTGCGAGCCTGGTGGAAAGAGAGCTCGGTGTATCAAGTGTACCCTGCATCTTACCAAGATTCCACTGGCTCTGGCGTTGGAGACCTGAAGGGCATCATCTCTCGAGTTGATTACCTCAAAGACTTGGGGGTCGATATCGTATGGCTTTCACCAATCTTCAAGAGCCCCCAGGTTGATATGGTGTGTTACCACCTTTTTTTTCCCCTCTCGAAGAAGCAGCAAGATTGCATTATATATTAACAAAGCCTAGGGGTATGATATCAGCGACTATTACACAATCGACCCTCCATATGGTGATGTCTCAGATGTTGATGTCCTCAAGGACAAGCTCCATGAACGAGGCATGAAGCTCGTTCTCGACCTGGTCATGAATCATACTAGCGATCAGCATGAGTGGTTCAGGGAGTCTCGAAAGTCCAAGGACAACCCTTATCGTGATTGGTATATCTGGAAGCCTGCAAAGTACGACTCCGAAGGGAACAGACACCCTCCCAACAACTGGGATGCTCATTTCCAAGGTTGGTACACTAGGGATTCTCATTCTGGGTTACCCAGCTAACGGATATATAGGAAGTGCCTGGGAGTACGACGAAACCACAGATGAATATTATCTCTGCCTCTTCTGCAAACAACAGCCAGATCTTAACTGGGAGAACCCGGCAGTCAGAAAACAAGTTCACGATGTCATGCGCTTTTGGCTCGACAGAGGCACCGATGGGTTCCGCATGGATGTCATCAACTTTGTCAGTAAGGACCAGGCCTTCCCCGACTCCGACAAGACTGTACTTCGTGGTCATGAATTTTATGCTTGTGGCCCCCGATGCCACGAGTTTCTCAAAGAGATTGGTGCTATTCTGCAAGAGTACGATGCTTTCAGCGTGGGCGAGATGCCCTGTGTGCATGATGAGCGCGAGTTGATTAAGGCTGTTCGTGGTGACCGGGGAGAGTTGAGCATGATTTTCCACTTTGAGTTGTAAGTCAAGGTTTCCAACATCAGTGTTATATCAGCCGCTGATCAACTCACAGGATGGATCTTGATCATGGCGTCGGCGGCAAGTTCACACCTAGATCCTGGGACCTTTCTGAGCTCAAATCTACCACTCTCAAGTGGCAGAAGTTCATGTACGACAATGAAGGCTGGAACGCCCTTTACTTGGAGAACCATGACCAACCACGGGCTGTCAGCCGCTTTGTTCACGATGACACTGAGCATCGGGTGGACAGTGCGAAGCTTATCGCCATCTTCCTGGGTTTCCAGTCGGGCACCCCCTTTATTTACCAAGGACAGGAGATTGGGATGACCAATGTCCCTAGGGACTGGGACTTGGAAGAGTACAAGGACCTTGACTGCCTTCGACATTGGGAGTAAGTCAGGGAATCCAGCTGCTAAACACATTTCACTGACATCCCTCACAGCCTTCACAGAAACGATGATGAGGCAGCTCAAAACTCCTACAAGGTTGAGTATCAGAAGAAGTCTCGTGACAATGCCCGAACTCCCATGCAATGGGACGCAAGCCCCAACGCTGGCTTTACTACTGCAGATGTTAAGCCCTGGATGAGAGTCAACGATAACTATAAGGAAATCAACGCTGCATCCCAGACTTCAGACCCCAACTCTGTGTACAGCTGCTATCGCAAAGTCCTGCAGAGACGAAAGGAGTTCCTGGACATATTTGTATATGGAAACTTCCAACTCGTTGACGAGTCCAACGAGAAGGTCTTTGCATACTCACGAACGGCTGACAACGGAGAGACCGCTCTCATCGTATGTAACTTCACAACTGATACAGTTGCGTGGTCTTTGCCCGGCAAGACGCGAGAGGTGCTGGTCAGCTCTGCTGGAAGAACAATTGATGAGTTAAACAGTGGGGAGACCAAACTGGCACCTTGCGAGGCCTTCGCAGTCCTGCTCGAATAGGATGAGCTGAATATTGAGACTCGCAACATATTCGATCCCCATATAAGAGGAGAACGACGGTAGGCCAATTGATAGATTTAAATCAAACCGTGAATTCATTCGCTCTTGGAGATTCGATGCTTGTGACATGAAGAGAGTTGGTAGCAAGACGAAGACGTGCATTCTCATTACCCAGCGGTTGATATTGGCCGAGTATCTACTCATACAAGATACATAAACCACTCCTCGCCCCGCTCTATTCGTGTAGATTTGACCATTACACCGCCTCTCTAGTCCTGTCGTCCCTTTAGTAATCGCTTGGTGACCTTGTCCTTCTCGATGATGTAAACGTGAGCACCCCAGCCTGAAAGGGCATCACGGTCAACAGCGTTGAGCAACGACTGAGAGATGGTCTCGAAGAGGGCGTCGGGTTCCTATAAGTAATATGATCAGCATTTCGCTCTTGAGCGGAGCAGAGCAACAGCCGAACTTGGACGACGTATAGCTGCTTTGTCATTATTTGCATACCAGATCAGGCTCCCAGAGACCCTCACACATGCCAAAGAGCTGCTCTGAAGCGGTACCAGAGACAATGAAGTCCTTGGCAAAGTCGATACAGCCAATACTGTCGAAGCCACAGATAAAAGGCTTGCCAGTCTTGGGATCAAGACCAGCAACGACGGGAGACACAAAGTAAGGTCCAAAACGGCGCTCGTAGAGAGATGAGGAAACGAGGTTGGCAAAAGTTCGAGGGGCGATGGAGCGCTCCTCGCGCAGGCGATACATGTTGACCTTGTAGCGGAAGAGGTCGCTCACGGTGTTGACATCGGTAGCCAGACCAGTGAGGCCCAAGAAGACGTCGCCGTACTGGAAGATCTTGGGGAAATTATTGGACACAGTAAGAGCCTGGAGACCGAGGCGAAGATCGCATGCGATGGCGACACAGTCCTTTCCGACCATGGCGACACAGGCGCCGCCGTCTGGAAGAAGAGGGAGGTTAGCTATGTATGAAGGCTGGTATAATGGCAGGCGACCGAGACGAACTTATCGAGAAAGGAGATGACTATTTATTGAGTTATATTATTAGCTTTCTGTGAAAAAGAGATTGGCTCGCCGGAGGTTAACCTACCATGATGACTTCTTGAAGGCAGAAAGGTAGATGCGAGGTCGGGGAATCGACGTCAACCAGCGGCCGTCTTATCGAGAGAAACTCGGGGACGAGGGGGGCGGTGATTCGTTGTATGAAGCCGTAAGCTTTGCAGTCGCTAATTCGTATCGTATCTTCGCGTCGTGGGGTTGTAGAATAGCAGCCGGCGTGGAGTGGATGGAGTGCGAGTTGGACAGTTGAAGCTCCCGTCACTGGATTGGAGCTACAGAAGGTGCAGTGTAATGAGGTTGTTGCTACCTCAGGTCCGTGGGTACCTTACGTACAGGCGGGCTGCAAGGCAAACACGGTCTGGCGTGGCCAGGTACAGGTAGGTCCACGTCTGTTAGAGTAGCCTACAACTTGTGGCGGCTGAGGCTCAGTAACCAGAATTACATAAGCGAGTTTATAGTGGTGTTCGAAATCGCATTTGGAGAAGAGAGGCATTCAATGATTAGGTAGTATAGAACAGCTATTTCAGACTCTGATTCACAGAAATTTTCATGAGTTTCAAATGATCATATAGAAGTGCCATAAATTTTGAGTAGTCGATGCTCTAGAGATCTTTCCAGGTTAAGATAACTGCTCAATATTCATTCAAAGGTCGACAGACAATAGAGGTTTAGAGCAATGCGCATGCCGTGGTTTGGCATCAAACAGCAGATTTTGCCTAAGAATGGGTAGCGAATTTATTTGTTCAATGATCTTATCTACCTACCTAATTATAGACGGTCTGAGTCTTCCGTTTTCACCTAATCCAGTTACTTGAGGTTGGGAGGTTCAATTAGAAGCTTCTAGCAGCTCAGAGAGTTATTCGAGGGTGCTCATAACTCCTGGCTGCCTGCCTGCTGGAGCTGTCTCTTCAGGTTGGTAGGTGAGACCCCTCTACCTGTAGTACGTGACCCCGCTGTTGACACTCGACTCACCTGCACACACACACCTGGCTGCTTACATCACCGCCAACCGAGCTCAACATCTATCCCCCGCGATCATCCTGTCCTTCATTAACAAATTCATGTTAGTCTAATACAGGTGCAGCTTCAGCCCTATACATCATCTTCTTAGTATCAACACCTTCTGAAGAATGGCGACCAACGTTGTGGTGATAGCCACCGACCTACGGCGAGCTACTATCAAAGTCAACCCTGGAACCTACCTTATTGATGTGTTGGAGGAAGCTTGTAGAAGACTCAACCTTTCCAGTGACAAATACATTGTCAAGTAGGTACAACACGCTCGAGTTAGGCTCTTCCGCTGCGCAAATAGCTAACGAAATTAACGCATAGACACCGGCAAAAAACAGTAGATTTATCTGTCCCCTTCCGAACTTCTGGTCTATCACCTGGCGCAAAACTTGAACTTGTCCAAAAGTCGAAAACCCCCTCTGCTATCCAAGTCGCCCTTCAAGTTCCTCCACCCGAGGGTCGCGAAATACCCGGTGGCCGGTTGATTCAAAAATTCCCCAGCGATCTCACCATATGGAAGCTTCTACGCCAGTTCGAGAGCGGAGAGGCCAGCAATGGAAGGAACATCAATATTACCGGCCGCGGGATCGCGCAAATGAGTGGTGATGCAGGGAGTGGTAGCGGACAACTTTACTATGAAACACCTGTTCTCAACATTATGGGACGAGAGCTTTCAACCTTTGCCGATTTCCAGAAGACACTATCGCAACTAGGATACAACTCAGGGAGTGTCCTGATTAGATTGGACTACCGAAAGACAGACAAGACACTGTACGATGCAATGACAGAAATTGGCAAGTTCTTCAAAGATACCGAAGATGGAGACCTGAAGACAGAAGCGCCAGCTGCAAAGGTAGAGCTTGCACCAGAACAAGGGGCGCAGAAACCAGAGGAGCAAGCACAAAGGGAGACACAGGACTCGCAGATGACGGAAAACCAAGTAGAACAAACAGATGATCCAGTCCCCAGTCAACAAGAAACAGGGCCCAAGGCTGCTATCGAGGACAACATGGACATCGACTCTTCTCAGCCCGGGGATCCTCTGGCACCTATCAACGTTTTCCTTGCTCCTTCAGGATCAACACCTGCTGCAGCCTTGGCTCCCGCTACCGATGCTGACTTTGCCCCTACAATCGCTCATGCGCAACTTCATCAAGCTCGGCTTCAGGGGGATTCGAGGAACAGGCGTCTGCTATCAGACCGCGAATTGGAAGAGAAGGCTGCTGCAGAGGCCGCAAGGATCAATGCAATCAAGTCTGTTCTCGTCAAAGTTCGATTTCCGGACAACACAAGCAGCGACTGGGAAGTAAGTTCCTCTCACAGCGGCCAGTTCATCTACGATGCTGTTCGGCATGTTATGGCCCATAACAACGAACCTTTCCATCTTGTTCTTGCTGGGACCAAGATTGTGATCAAAGACGATCCTAGCCCCAGCAACGGATTGATCAAGGCGTATAAACTATCCGGGCGTACCTTGATGACCCTGGTCTGGGATGATGCTGTACCATCAGCCGTACGGAAGGAGCCATTCCTCAAGGCCAATATTGCTCAAAAGGGCCAGCAGGTCAAGGTGCCTGAGCTCATTGCCTCGAATGATCAAGAAGAGGAAGTACCTGTTGCTCGGCCAGCACAAACAGAGAAGGGAGAGGGCTCAGGAGAGAAGACTGGCAAGAAGATACCTAAGTGGCTCAAGCTGGGCAAGAAATAGACAATAGTGGCAGTTTAGAAACGTCACGGAGTTTGCATTAACCATCATTGGTGGCGTTGGTTTAAGGTAGCTTTTTCATAGCGCAAAACAGCGAGATCCACAGGTCATGAATACATATTGCATCCAACGGACATAAGTTCGAAAATGAAGGGGAGGCGTCACTCATCACGCAAGACAGATTGGAACATGGCTTGATCATTACGCCATAAGTCTCTTGAAAGTGTTGGTATTCCGGCGATCCGCAGCTAAATCCCTGCCACGGAGCGTCCAAGCCGTTAATTTTTTTAATCGATCAAATCGTGACCACGCCAATCCATGCGAACCCCTTTCGGTGCCAGATTCCCAAAAATCAGATCAAACCGAGTTGGTTTAGTGACCAGTACGGCGGGCCTCAGCGATGACGCGCTGGAGCTCGTCGACCTTGGCCTTGGCACGGCCGAAGGTACCGAGCTTCGATGCGAGTTAGTACTTATATCGTGGGGTGACTGCGGTGTCTGGGTTCGACGTACTCTCTTCTTGGCGAGCTTACGGGCACGCTTGTCCTTGGAGTTGCGGAGCAACTCAATGACTCGGCGCTCGTAGGGGGCAAGGCTGTGGAAAAAAAGGTGGTTAGCAAAAGCTCGAGCACGTATTTGATGACTCCGCTAATGAATAGGGTTGATCTCGGTGACGAGGCCTTGAACAGGCGGTGCAAAACTGCCATGTCCAGCATCTCCCATCAGTTGCCTCCCAACCCAACCTCTAGTACCAAAAAAAAAAAACATGTGCGACTTACCCAGCGACCTCCTTGACGACCTCACGGACGAAAGCGGTGCGCTTGCTCAGGTGACCCTTGGTTCGGGAAACACGGGGCTTGACGACACGGGGAGTGGTTTTCTGTAATATCGGCGACAAATGTCAGCGTCCATCGTCTGCTAGTTGGGTGGTTGTCGAGCCCTCATCCGTCGCGAAGGCGAAGACAAAGCAGAGATCCTCCACGAGGTGAGACTGCGACAGAAAGACGTACGTGACCCTTGTTGAGGCCGACGGCCAGGCCAGATCGAGCGGTTTCAGCGGCCATTGTTGCTGGATGGGTTAGTTGGATCGTGAGGTGACGAGAATATTTCCAACAGGTTCAGGAAAAACGAGGGGATCTCTTAGTTGAAATTTTGCCAAATGTGGGGTCACGTGCCGAAGGGTCAGTTTACATTTTGTGCGAACCCCACAAGTGGCATTTTGGCGGCGAGTGGATCTATCTAACTAATCTGTGAGACGGCTCTTCAGAGCTCAGAAGAGGACCAGATTAACACGGAAATCTACAAACCAAGAACTGCACTTAGCATCATGTACCGTCAAGTCTGAGTTTAAACATAATTTGACTCTTACGAGAAACAATGATGCGAACCATGCTTAAATTAAACGGATATGGCATCATATCTTGAAGGCCAGGATTAGCACTACGGCAGCCTAGAATCAGCATGAATATCTAGGTACCTACTTGTGTGTATACCCGGCCTCACCCAGCAACATGCCATCTTCATCCAGGTGCTTTATGATCCTGGATGCCTCCAAATCCACACAGGAGGTCAAATAGTTCAGATACGACAATCCTTTGTGCATTGCGATCGACAACCGAGTCTTCAAGGGAGAGCATCCTCCAATCTTCCTTGTGTTAAAGCGAAACACGGAAAATGTAACCAGCAGAACTCGGAAAGTCATCGCTTCTCAGTCCAACGTTTTTGCATGAAGAGATCACGTTTCTATTCTTGTGTCACCCAACAGCAAACAGCCTTGTCGGCCATCTGTTCTGTTACTAATAATAACTCTGACACTTAGACGCTTGGTTACAGAGGCTCTATCGTAAACAATGAGTTGGCCATGCATATTCCATAGTAAACGTCCGAGGCTCCGACCAGCAAACATGAAACACGATCGGCATCCAATCAATTGCACTGCCTGGTTGTTGGAACCTCGCCTCCGATCCCGTCAACTCCATGTCTCCTTGCGGATGCAGAAGGATCTGCGGGTGGAATTGGATTGCATTGCACGACGGCGCTGGAATCGAGAGCAGGCCCGATTTAATGAGTTACTAGGCCGCGTGTTCGGTAAGGCAAGGAGAAACCACTCGGAGCGGTTGATGCTCTGACGTCGTGTTCTCCATATGGCTTTTGATGGACTTATAAACTACTAACTTGCCTACCTCGCTAGTCATGTCTTGAGTTGAAAATCTGGTGTTTGACAACATCAAACTTCACAAATTTCACTTCGTACCAAACACACATACTTCCTTCCTCCAATACTCCCACAATGCAATTCGGGCTTTTGTTTCTTTCTGCTTTGCCCGCAACTTGGGCCGCACATCTCTACGCAGTTCCTCAGAGTCTTTCACTTCTCGAGACCAGTGCTGAAGATAATGGCTGCACACTCCCCGATACCTACAGCATCCAGAATTTCAAGGCAGAGTCTAAAGACAGCGGCAAGACGCTCAGTGGCTTTGACTTCGTATTCTTCGACCAGGACACCAAATTGACGACCCCTTGTCACAAGAACGCTTCTTCAAAGGCCATCACGGGCTTGGGAGGCAGGGATCGTTTTGCGTGTGACAACGACGCGGTGGAGTTCATCTGGACTGACGATACCAAGAAGCTATGGATGATGGAGAAGGTTTGTCAACAACAGGATGGGTAAGTAATGAATCCTTGATCTTGAAGAGAAAACATGCATTGACAGTAGCCCAATAGATCTGTATCATATGAGGCCAGTGGTAGCATCATTCTCAACGTCAAGTGTGCCAGGACTGGTGGCTGCTCAAGCAACTCGACAGACCAGAAGTCGGCCTTCACTAGCCTACAACCCGTGAGAGAGGCTCCTCCTCCCTAGGAAATCAGTCTGTAATAAGTAAGATCTCATGATCTTGAGTCGTGCAGAATCCAGACTGTCCGATGGGTAAGGTACCTAGGGTAGTAGTCAGGCGGGCTACTTTATCACTTGTACAAAACAAAATTGGACGTATGAGGATAGTAGTAAGGCGAGGAAAAGACAACGACAATGTCCCACTAGTACTAAATAGAGAATCGGCTAAACGTCGATATGAGCAACGTATCCGTACTTTGTTCGTGATTTCTTTAAGAGATCGTTTATTCAGGACTTCCGCCTCCAACGTGAAAGAATGTAAAGTGGGTCTTCAATCCGGGGTAGCGTAGGCTCATTGACCAATCAGAATGTCTCATTTGGCTCTAAACAGAGGGAACAATGACGCTCCTGTTCCAATTGGTCATTTGTTGGCCTAAACAGGTACCGCTAATTCTAATACATGTGCCGTATGACCTCAACAGTTTGAAGTGTTATTCACGAGACCTGTCAACCCTGATCTTGACCTCTTCACTTGATCTACCTGCTGTTTCAGCTCTCATAATTATGTGTGTTGGGGCTAAAATCGAACAGTCCTCGATAACTTCTCAATGATGCATTATTTCTTTTCCCTCATCTCGTCCATTCTCAATTCGGAGAACTTCTGAGTCGTCACTAGAAGTTGATTTTACAACGCACAGCGAGGATTGGGGACGTTTCCAATATCGGGGGAAAGACTAGCGCATTTATGGACGCGTTTGCAGCTTTTCGGACTTTGCAACTATCAGCATAGAGCACAACGTTACACCATGCGACTCAAACCTGTCAACACGATGAGGACACTGACTCTTCAGCTGGTTCTCATCACTTCATGCCTCGCTCTTAGCGATCCATTATCAATACCCAGGCACAGAAGTAATGTCCCTGATAATACACCCTACGGCATATCCGTGCCCTTATTTGCGACACTCGAGCGTTTGTCGCGGCTCGTCGACATAGCCTATTGTATCGGCACCACAGGAGTCAGGAAACCCTTCGACTGTGTCTCGCGCTGCAGCGAGTTTCCCAGTCTCGATCTCATCAATACGTGGAATACTGGACCTTTGCTCAGTGACAGTTGCGGCTATATCGCTGTTGATCACGGCGTGAGACAACGCGGAGACAATGACGCTTACATGGCCGGTGACCCTGCTATCGTGGTGGCTTTCCGCGGTACCTACAGCATCGCCAATACGATTGTCGATCTGAGTACTGTACCGCAAGAGTATGTGCCGTACCCATCTCCTGACCACGGTGGAGAAAATCCTCCTGACGAACCGAAGCATCAATGCACAAATTGTACGGTGCACATGGGGTTCCTCCAGTCCTGGAAGAATGCTCGACGCCTCGTACTTCCACAATTGAGACAGCTGAGGCTCCAATATCCTTCTTATCCTGTTCAGCTTGTAGGCCATAGTCTGGGAGGTTCCGTCGCTTGCCTCGCTGCACTGGAGCTCAAGGTATCTCTAGGATGGCAGGGCGTCATAGTCACGACTTTTGGTGAGCCCCGAGTTGGGAATGAAGGGCTCGCTCGCTTCGTCGATGAAGTCTTCCACCTAGATGGCCAAGATGATCTCGAAGGGCGACAATACAGGCGGGTTACTCACAAGGAAGACCCCGTACCCCTGCTTCCCCTGGGTGAATGGGGCTACAAGTCACACGCAGGTGAGATATACATCGCCAAACAAGAGCTCAGCCCTTCTGAAGCCGATATTTACATGTGTATCGGCGACAACGATCCGAAATGCATATCCGGGGCAGACGACTCGTTATGGATGACGATACGCCGCTTGTTCCACGTCAAAGGCCTTCTAACGGTCTCGGACAAATTAGCAGAGTTGAACGGATTCCCTTCCAGATTCAAGCTATGGCAACTGCTGTTTGCTCATCGGGACTACTTCTGGAGACTCGGCCTCTGTGTACCAGGAGGCGACCCTGCAGATTGGGGCAGAGGGCGGTACCAAGGACCGGAGACAGAGGAGCTATGAATTTTTTTTATTAAAAACTTATTGTGATGCGGTTGGCACGCGTTGATGATATGGAAAAGCCTGCTCGAAGATATCTCATGTATGAACTTAATGGATTAATACATATGAAGGGCTGCAACAGAATCAACATGGTTGAAATCGAATTTGTCATGTAATTCATCAAGCATTCGACAAATCCAATGTAGTCTCAAGCGTCTAAAACCCAATGATTCATGTTACAGAACCACCATATGGACGAAAGAGGTCATGTTTTCTACTCTGTGCCAGCCAGTATATCTAACGTGTTGTCCAAAGTCCTACGATCTTCTGATGACCTGGTCCATCCAGCCAGTCCCGCTGACCATGGGCTAGACCGAGCGGAAAGCTCCACCAAAACAAGCCGAACCAGGATTATTCGAAGTCATGTCAACAAGTGATAAGAAGGGTCCCAGGCTAAAAGAGGTCCCTGAAAGAAAGATCCCCCCCCCGGGTAAGGCTACTGGAACTCATACTTATCCAGCCTGATTGACTTGTTTCCATGTAGACAGTCCATCATCTGGAACACCCACTACAATAAGAATGAGATAAGAAAGGACGATATCACATTCCTGCTGCTGAGCTGTCTGTACTGTATGAGGCAAAACTGGTTTCTACGGCTCTGGTGGAACGTGGGCTTCGGATGATTGCAGATGGGTCCGTGGGATAAGAGGAGAATTGGTTCAGTTTAACAGGGGTTTGATGAGCGACAGAGCAGCTATTTAGCTCCAGACTGCAAAGAGAAGGGCTCCATTGAAGTCGGCCAGGGCTGGCTACGAACAAGACTACAACTTATGTATAACAAATGAGTTGAACTTGACAGCTACAGTGTGCCCGTAAAGTAGAATTTCCTGAAACGAGCAGGATATCACCAAACTCTAACCAGCTAAACAGATCCCACATCCAGGTTCGCGGATTCCTGGTCAAGGATGGACAAATCGAGGCGTGCGATATGACATGGAGGGGTTGCCAGCAAGCGGAATGAGAATGTCAAGTGTCAAGTCACAAGGCAGGGATTTGACCCGTTCAAAGCGAGATGGGCAGATCTTGAGATTTGATGCAGCCCGGCCAGGCCAGCAAAGAGTACTACTACTGTATCTATGTATTAGTCCTGACGAACTCCATAGATGGGGTTCTGTTTCTTGACGGATACAAGTGCGAGTGCTGTGGATGGTCTGTCTAGATTTTCTAGATTGTGTAAGAAATCTTGGTCCAGGTTTCAGATAGTGGTTTTGGTCTTGGCTTGATACGTATATCGCAACAGGCGTCTCAGAGTCAGGATCAGCGTCACAGAATCCAGACTGTACCAAAGTGGTTGGATTTGATAAGCTCTTAGACGCTGGAGTGGGCGGTTAATACAACGGACGATCCCAGGAAATGAGTTCATCTCGTGCGAAGCTCCCGCGACCTGTAAACCAGCAGAATAGAATTGTCATGTGCTGGTGAGGTCTGTAAGTCTAACTATGGAGGCGTATGAATGGTGGACTCTCATGTGCCTTTTGGCGGTAGTGGCAGTCATAGGCAGGCAACAACAGGTCATCACTGGTCAAAAGCCTCTCGGATCTCAGACTTTCAGCCATGATTCGTGTGTGAGATGCGTGCTGCCGTCTGTGGCGGGCCTGGAGATAACCAGGACAAGGGTCCAATAGAAGTCGTCTCATCAGCCCCAATGAGGCTGATTCTATTATGATGCAGAGACAACAACAACAAGCATTGTGTGTGATTTCTCATAGAAAAAGCAGCTTGCCGTAAAGGAGACACTAGCACGTGCATATCAGCACCATCCCCTGTGAATCAAAAAGTAAAGGGGTCTGTCTGTCTGTCTGTCTGCACAGGCGTGAATGAACTGGAGGAGAGAGATTGGCGTCAACTGACAGGGCTAATGAGCACCAAGCATCAAACAACGGCCAGAAAACTGTTTCGTTTGGTGGAAGAGGGGTGAAGTCAATGGAAGGGGGCTCATCTCTGTCGTCACTTTTTTTACGCTCACGTGGCTACCTGTGTATTGTTTACATCCGGCATGGCATGGCATGGCAGCCTGGGGCCGGCCCAGGACAAAGCCCAGGTTCCTTGGGTTTCCACTAACTTAGCACGCCAGCTCCGCAGTATTTGAGACTGCAGACAGACACTGGGCTCAGACTGCTCCAAGATACCCGGACCTCACGTTCAGTATTGGATGCACTGCAATTTAGATGAGGCGGGCAGCTATGGCGCACCCGGTTCCGTCTGGACTTTTTAACAGGGACATGTTCCGCTAAACGGGGAGATCATATCGGCTCCCCTATTTTCTCCTCTCTCTCCAGTTAATGGTACTGTCGGTTGTCTTGAAAAGATCCATTCATTATTAGAGCGGTGACTGGGTTTGTGGTGCACTAATGTAGATATGCGGGTTAAACAGTTACCAAGAAGTGGGAGTCAAAGGCCCAGAGGCCAACAGCCCGGGCCCAAGGCGACCCTGGGATTGGGCGGGCCACGCTGTTCCTTGGGCGATACACCCCTAGAAACGATCCATTGGGGGGAGCTGCCCGCACTGCCCGGGGGCCTGCCCGCTGCCTGTCCGGCTGGTTCCCATCCATTCCATTAGGTACAGGGCGCTGCCAAAATCCAATTCTAATGCGCAAAATACGTACCTGGGTACCTCACTCACCCAACGCCTGACCCCGCCTAACTACACCTCAGTCCAATCCAGTCACTGGTCTCACTCTACCTTACCTTACTTTACCTTACCTCTACTCATCCCTCTCCCTACGCGCCCCCCAACTCTCAACCTCAAAAATTCAATCTCTCACTCAACCTCTCTTCTCCCTGTCACGACTACTTCCACTTCCCTTTTTCTTATCAAACAATTCCCAATATCTTCCAAAATGGCCACCGAGGTATGTATTCTTCCTGCCAGTCTCTCTATACTTTCTCCAGAGATGCTCTACCCTTTTTCCCTCTCGGCCTCCTGTCCCGCCGAAGGCCGCACAACCCCTCAATCGAAGCCCAACATGGACAAACGGTGACAACACCATGAGGTTCCTCCTCGAAACTCACGATTCGTCCATGGCCTTGAACTCTCGGCTATGTAGCTTGCGATTCTCTAGAGGCTCCCTCAACTTGCCATCAGGCGGTGTTACTCGATTCCCTCCCCCTCCCCTTCGCCCCTCCCTGCTCAACTCCCATCCCCATCTCTCTAATCAAAATGCTTAATGCTGACTCTCATGGTGTGATAGCGTGAAAGGTTTGTCTACGGCATCCCCTGCCGGATCTCTTCCGACGCTATCGGCGCCCTGCCAATACCTTGGCTCGTCCAGCTCGTTTAGGAATCCAGATCCCCTTCGAAGGACATCGTATCGCTGACATCGTACGTGTTACCTCACTATAGCAAGACCTTCCTGGCCCGCCTCTGCGAGCAGGCCGAGCGCTACGATGAGATGGTCACCTACATGAAGGAGGTGGCTAAGCTGGGCGGAGAGCTCACCGTTGACGAGCGTAACCTCCTCAGCGTCGCCTACAAGAATGTTGTCGGCACCCGACGTGCCTCGTGGCGCATCATCTCCTCGATCGAGCAGAAGGAGGAATCTAAGGGCTCCGACAAGCACGTCTCCACCATCAAGGACTACCGCAACAAGATCGAGACCGAGCTCGAGAAGGTCTGCCAGGATGTTCTCGATGTTCTCGACGACTTCCTCATCCCCAACGCCGCCACCGGCGAGTCCAAGGTCTTCTACCACAAGATGTGCGTTTTTATCTTCCCCGCCTCTAGCCTGAGGCCCCTCGTCTTCCCGCCCTTTTTGTGCTCGCTCACGCAGCACTACACTCATCTCGCTCCATGCGTGCTTTTTCCCCCGCCGGGGAAAAAAAATTGCACTCTATTTTTTAATTTAGTTATCGAGAAGCTGACCGTGTTTCTTTCTGATGAATAGGAAGGGTGACTACCACCGTTACCTCGCTGAGTTTGCCTCTGGTGAGAAGCGCAAGGGTGCTGCTACCGCTGCCCACGATGCTTATAAGGTAAGGCTAAATTAAAACCCAACTACCCCCCACCTCCGTCACATGCCGCAAGATCCGGGCCGCTGGTGCCCCTCGCTGACAAGTTTTGCCCAACCACAGAGCGCTACCGATGTTGCCCAAACTGAGCTCACTCCCACTCACCCCATCCGTCTGGGTCTCGCTCTCAACTTCTCCGTCTTCTACTACGAGATCTTGAACTCCCCCGACCGTGCTTGCCACCTCGCGAAGCAGGCCTTCGACGATGCTATTGCCGAGCTCGACTCCCTCTCTGAGGAGTCTTACCGCGACAGCACCTTGATCATGCAGCTTCTCCGAGACAACCTCACCCTCTGGACTTCTAGCGACAGCGCTGAGGGCGAGGCCGCTGGTGCTGCCGATGCTCCCAAGAAGGAGGAGGGCGAGGCTGCCAAGCCTGCTGAGCCTGCCGCCGCCCCTGCTGAGGAGCCTGCGCCTGCTGCTGCCTCCTAAATCTGTCAATAATCCCCCTCGATACCACATGCGTCTCGGCATATAGGAACCGAGACGTATTCTTGCCCCGGTTACACTTGTCTGCCCCCGGACACACGGATAGCTGGGCCTGTCTTGGGCGGGCTGGATGATAGTACGAGGCTTCTTCTTTTTGCGCGGTGCGTTGCTTTTTTCCCATGGCGATGGAGAGAGGGAGGAATCACAAAGGGTCTGGTTTCTGGCAAGGGAGAGTGTACGGCGTGGAATCTTTCGTCTTGTTTGTCCGTCGGACTAGTAAGAAGGGAAGAAGGGAGTGGGAAAATTCGATCCGCCAACACTCGGTGATGACGGTTATTTGTCTTTTTTTCTCTCTTTTCTACCTGGCAGATAAATCGCAAAGTTTCCTCCCCTTTTGCACTTCTTTTTTTTTCTCTTTGGCCTACTTTCCGCACCTAGCATTTGTGTATCTCTCAATCCCCGTCTTGTTGGTCATTAAGAACATGGACAGGGCTTAGCCCGTCTTGATGGATCGTCACGAAGAAGGCTTTCTCATGTTAACGCTTCTCCTCCAATTGTCTTATGTCTTTTATGTTTTCTGTTCATGTCTATTGGTTCGCTCTCAAACGTAACCCCCCCCCCCCCCCCCGAAGAGAGGCAATGGAGAGATGGATTGTTTCCTGTTGTTTCTAAACAAAGACTTGTCCCCAAAAATTAAACTCCTCCACATTCATGTTCACGGGTACCGAGAAAAAGGTGGTGGTATAAGCTGCCCCTGGGCTTTTCCGATCTGAAGCCCTCTCAGAGTTCTGTCCTGGTGACGTTTGTTCTCTACTGACATTTTCCTGATGTTGAACTGTTGCATTTCTCAGCGCTTGTGTTGCGTCTTTCCATCCGCTAACCGTCTGCTATGGGGTTTCCGAAGTTTGCATATGTTTAACGTCAATGTCGGGTGGAGCAAGTGTCGAATGTGACAGTCTCTTGTACCTGAGATTAGAAAGATTGGTTTACACGTGCATGCTAGTCTAGGTACGTGGAATTGTCTGTTAAGGGCGTTGATTAATGAAGAATAAATGCTATATCATGACACATGTCGACATGGCCCCGGCTGCCTATTAAGAAGTATGTATTGCTGGCACCGGGCCGTTCGTAAGCAAACGCGACAGACGCATTCCTTGCTTGGTAGCCAGTGCTGATGCGTCAGTCCATTGGCGACGCTGTCACCGTTCGTCGATGCGACGGTTGAGTAGCCTGGCGGCTCGAGCCAACCTCTCTTGCTTCTCCTTCAAGCCATTTCCTTCTTCGCTATCCCTCTCCAGGATGCCGCCTTCTTCATCCCTTGCGTCCTCTCCGCGAGCCACCCTGTTCTCAAGTCCGCGGTACATAGCCGTACGGCCATCTGGGGGAAGCTCGGCAGCGGCAGCAGCCAAATTGGCAGCGGTGCGCCTCTTGGGCCCAAAGCGCCAGCTGATGCGTTTCCACAAGCCTCGCGGCTTGGAACCAGCAGGTGATGGAGGTGTGGCAAACGAAGTATCCGGGTCGGGGTCTGGAGTGGCAGCGGATGAAGACGACAGTGATGATGATAGTGACGGGGCCGTGGGGAGATGTAGGGCTGAAGCGACTTCGGTGCGCCAGATGTGAATGCGCTCTTGCTTCGCAGGAGGCATGAGGGGGTTGATCTTGATTCGGTGATCTGAATTATCGGCCATGGCTGTTTCTGTTACTGTCGAAGCTGATGATGGCTTGCGATTTGTTGATAGGAGCAATTAATCAATTTTGTTATGGTTGGGTAATGGGAATTGTAAGGAGATAGATAGGTATTGCAACGATTATGAGGCTCAATGCGTATTGTGTGATATTAGTCCGAGGCCAGTCGGAATTGTGAAGCTTGCCATCAAATCAATGATCCGCCGCCGTTGTTGATGATGAGAAGCGGACGATGAGGACGTCAAAAGGTAAAAAAATATAAAAAAATCAGTGGCTCATTGACAATCTTTTGTTTTGCGCGTCGTCCAGCGATTTCATCCGTGTACGCCAATGACTCGAGCAGATCGTACGAAATCGTACTATTAAAGGGCCTGAGCGTGCTGGATCTGGATCTGGATCCGGGGGTTGTCTCCAAGACTCGGACACTCAAGACCAGAGAGATGAGGCTTAATTGCGATGGCCTGTGATGATGTTCCCAAGGACCAAGAAATAAAAGCAAACAACGCAGACTGAAGGTTCTCTCTGTGCGAAGGGAAAGGGAGAAATTGCGATCAAGGTTTAGAAATAAGAGAGGCAAGGCGAGGTCAAGCAAGGCAAGGTAAGGTAGGTTCGGTTCAAAGGTGATTGGAGCTGAGGAAATCACGGACCGGGGACGATCTCTTAGGTGGGCTTCTCGGGGGGGGGAGAGAGAGAGA